TAGAATGAATGAGTCCAAAGGAATAGAATATTCTTTCAACGCCTGCAGAAGAAGCTACTGCTGTTAAAAGTGAAATCATTACTTGAACAGTTTCTAAACCCAAGTGCTTAAGTGACTTCCACCAGTTCACTGGTGTGACTTTCTTTAAAATATCTTCAGCAAACATATATTTCTTGAATGGTTCCCCCTTAGCTTTCAAGTTTATTATAGTTGGCATTACAGATGGATGATTGCTGGATACCCATGTCATAGCTAACTCCTCTTCCTCAGCACCTAAGTTTTGACCCTTATACTGGATATTGACAATATTTGCCAAAAAAATGAGCTGGAGACAGTACTTGTCCCATTTGTTTTTTTAATGCTTGCAGTTTAATTCTGTCCATGTGTAGTTCTGCTTTTAAGTGTTCACTCAGTTCCTTCCAAATTTCAACAGCATCAGCAATAAAACAGCTATTTTTCTCTATTTTGTTTAAAGCTTCAGAGATTCAGGATGCTCAGCATATGTTCAACATTTCTCTTAAGCCCGATGTTGAGGATTTTGGCCGTGATAGTGCCATCTATTTTATCTTGATTTTCTTCACAAACTGTCATCAGAATAGGCCAGTTCTTGATATACTCCTCAAAACAGTCCACCACAGAGTTCCATCTAACATCTTGTGGGAGCGTTAGCTTGGTTCCACCCATCCTTTTCAGAGTGCTGCAGCAAAATGATTGTTACGGAAGTATTTAGCAATTTCAACAACATTAGTCTTTATTTCTGGAACACTTAAGTTTTTGGCTAAGAAGTGCAGCAAATGAGCACTGCAACCATATGTTTTTAGCTTTGTATTCCCTTCCTGCTCTTCTCAATTTCTTCTCATCTTGGATACATTTGCAGCATTGTCTGTGACCAAACTGCATACTAGACATTTGAATTTTTGTTCACATGTTATTATAGCTTTTACTGCCACTTCTTGTAAGTATTCTGCTGTGTGTGCATTTCCTGACGTATCAATTGTTTGTGCAAGGAAGACTTTCCCTTCTTCTGTTGTTATACAAGCACATACAATAGGATCATTGTGGACATTACTCCACCCATCAATACTTAGGTTAACAATTCTACCTTCCAGAGCTGTTGCACATTGCTCCATTTCTCTGTCATACACTTTATCCAGCAGTTTCCCTGCAACATCTGCTCTGCTGGGTGGACTGTATCCTGGTCTCAGTGACTGAACCATATTAATGAAATGTGGGTTCTCAGTCAGACGAAAAGAAGAGTTCGTTGCATAAACAAACTGGGCAATTTTTTCATCAATTAACTCTTTTTCTAATCTGCTAGTTTTTATCACAAACTTTATCTATGGTGGTTCCAGGAGGGAAGGGTTTTTTCTTTCTTTTAGGTGATAGTGATATGTGGCTGTGGGTGCCTGATGATGATGATGCTAATGAAGCACTATCCTGGATGGATAACTCTGAAACTGTAGAACAGGAGGATGGTGATCTTGAAGGTGGATAGTTTCCAGAATCCATGAATTCCCCTAAACAAAAAAGTCAATGCTGTTGTTTTATTGTTTATACAATTTCTGCTTATTGTACACAGCACTGCCCCAAAAGGAATATTTGCTTTTCTTCATAACTGTACCGAATGACAGTAACATGCAGTAATAATAAGAAATATAATTTTGCTCAAACATGACAGTTCAAGGCAGTCTTTACAAATATGATTCAATAAAAATGTTTACCAACCTGAAGATCCTGCCTGTTCAAATGTGTTTCTTTGGTCATCTTCATCACAGCACTTCTCATGATGTTGCCTCATTCGGGCCACCAGGCCTTGCATTTCTTTGTTGCAGTGTTTGCAGTTTGCACGCATGCCTGCCTTATCGATAGGCAGGGTGGATTTGATTTAAATCAAGTTGATTTAAATCACAATTTAAATCATGATTTAAATCACTAGTAAAAAGGCTTGATTTAAATCAACTCGATTTAAATCATAATTTTTAAAGAGCAACTGTCATCTCTGCTACTCCTTTGACCCACTGTTGATTCACCGATAGTCCCAGTGTTGCAGAATATACAGCCTCATGCTACATAACTAAGCTCCATTTCATGCTGAATAAAATAAATTATGTATGTATCTTAAATAGAAAACTATGTTACGATAGATTTTTACCCCAAAAGTTTTTTATTAAAATAAATTCGATAAAAATAAAAAAATCCGATTTAAATTAAAAAAATCTGATTTAAAAAAATCATTGATTTTTATCCACCCTGCCGATAGGTAAAGAAACTTCATTAAAATATTGCCAAACTGGGTCTCTTTTATGGCCTGCTGCCATTATAGGTTTTTTCCTCCAAGGAAAGAATGTGATAAACCTCAGGTCATACACACAAAAAGATCCAAAGACTTGTCTGTCTGTGGCTGTGCAGTATTGTGCTCAGAAAGTTTCACTTTCATTTTGTACTGCTTGTCTGCTTGCCCCTTCCTCTTCACACTTAGTTTCACTTTCTTCTTGTGCAGATCTATTCCACTCCAAACAATCAGAAAAATATTGTTTCTATTCTATTCACTGAACTTCTTGAAACTGAGCACTGAAGGGGTTGATTCTGTATTCATAGGTTTGTAGAACAATAGGATTAAGGTCTTTTTCTCAACTCTGTTCATGTTATAACATTTTTGCTGTGAAGAAGAGGCATGTGATCTCTGCTGAGTCAAATTCAGTTTTGAGAACTGCAAAAGTAAACCAAGCATCCGTGATAATACCTTGTAGGCAGAGAAACTGCCCAATAATCTTACAAAAACCTCTGGAAGAGCATGACATTGTGAATGGATTAATGGAATTTATTTACCAAAAAAATTAAACATATACAGCCTTATTCTACATAATTAAAAAACTAATCTTTATTTCATGATGGAATAACCTTTGGATGGTAATATATTTTCCTCAAAAAGCATTTTATTTAAAAAAATCCAATTTAAATTAAAAAAATCTGATTTTTTTTTTTAAAAATCATTGATTTTTATCCACCCTGCTTGTAGGTCATCTAGTCCAACAACCTCCCACCCCCCCGCCCAAGTAGGAGACCCTACACCATTTCTGACAGATGGCAGTCTGCTCTCTTCTTGAAAACTTCTAGTGATCTTGACGGTTGCCTTGATATTGGATCTTCCTTCTGTACTTCAAGGCCATCTCCTTTACTCACTCTGCCACCTGTGATTGGCATCTGAACTCTGATTCCCGTCTTCTTGCTTGCCTTTCTCTCTCATGGAGATGGGCCAAAGAGAAGGAAAAATCCGGAAAATGTGTCTGTGTGTCGCAAGGCCTCAGGGCTATGAGGAGAAGTCCCTGGACTCCACTTTGCAACTAAAGCTTTGTCCCTGGACCAGAATTGGCTCCAAAGTCAGTGAAGGCTGAAAGGTGTTGGTCCGTCTCATGGAACTTCTTAAACTGGGTAGAGATCTCAGTGCCACAGATTGTCCCTTACAGAATTCACAATATAAGGGAAGTGCCAAAAATGGGTAAATAGCCATTAGTTTAAAAAAAAGGGGGGGGAAGTATACCCCGGAAACTGCAGAATGTTGTCTTAGTACTTGTGAAAATCCCAGAAGAGATCATCAAGCACTTGGTTTGCAAGCCCTTAGGAAAGGATCAGGATAATTACTAGAAGCCAGCATGGGTTTGCCAGACAAATCTTACTGTTATTTCAAACTAATTTATTAGATTAGTAGACCTGGGGAACGTCACGGATGTAGCGTACTTCGACTTCAGTAAAGCATTTGATGATATTGATCACGGATTCCCTGCTGATAAAAGCAGAGCCACGTGGCATGAGTAGTCTTGCTACCCAATGGTTGAGCCATCTCTCCAACGGGTGTTCCTTCCTGGGTTTCTGTCTGCAGGGTTACGGTTAGGGCTGTTTTGCCATCTCTGCAGGGAGGATCTGGGTGGAGCAAACTTGTGGGGGCATCCTTGTCCCCTCCTTAATCCAGAGAGGGATTCTGAGGAGCCAGTCCATTCACCGGCTCCTCTTCCCACCAGCTCTGTAAAAGGCAGAGCCACCCATAGACCCCCACAGCCGTGATCCACAGCATGCTTGTTCAAAGGCAAGGCAAGAGAAGCCTCTGAGCTTAGCTAGGAGAACGGAATGGAATGCAAGGCGCAAAACAGGCAACACCCGGGGGGAGGGTGGGGGGAGGGAAGGATGTGGATCTCCTGGTGGGTCCCTGGTTAACCCTCAGCCAGCGGGCTGCTGCAGCCGCCATTTTCACTTCCCAGGAATGCCGCCGTGGGGAGGAGGCGTGCGGCATTCTTGAAAGGACAATGATGCTGTCATTTAGCGCTGCAGCATGCCAGCTTCTGTCATTGATTGTCCCTCTTAATTTTTCTTGAAACAATTTAAAAAGCCAGATATGTGTCTGCATGGGCACCCCGTGGGACCTCACCTCTGCCTAATGTGGGACTTTTCCCTGATTAAAGACATGTTTTTAAATATTTCCCATTTGGCTCCTGGTTGCCTGGACCTGCCTCCTGCTCGTGGCTGCAACCTTCTGAGCTGAAAGGGCTGCGGTATAAGCAGTCCTTAACTTATGAGCATTCATTTAGTGACGGTCCTTTGAAAAGGGGCTTACAATCATTTTGTACTCTTTATGACCATCACAGCATTCCCCTAGTCACATGATCCAAATTCAGACCCTTGGCAACCGATTCATACTTACGACGGTTGCCTGTCCCAGGGTCATGTGATCCCCTTTTGCCACCTCCTGACAAACAAAGTCGATGGGGAAGCCAAATTCACTTCACAACCAGGTTAACAACTGCAGTGATTCACTTAACAACTGTGGCAAGGTAAGTTGTAATATGGGGCAAAACTCGACTGTCTCATTTAGCAATGGAAATGTTGGGCTCAATTGTGGTCAAGGACTTCTGGTACGCACCTAAGCTTTTCTGTTTTATGGCTCATCCAGCTGCGCTCTGGCCGGCCGGCCGGCTGACGGACTCGTCTTTTCTCTGTCGTTGCAGACTGGAAACAGCTTCCATGTTTTCGACCAAGGCCAGTTTGCCAAGGAGGTCCTTCCCAAGTATTTCAAACACAACAACATGGCCAGCTTTGTGCGGCAGCTGAACATGTGTGAGTATGCTCAGCGCCTGGGAAAGCTCTGCCAAGGACCCCCCCCCCGAGATGGTCCTTGTGTGCTTGCAGGAGGCGGGAGGGCCAAGCGGCGGTTCTGGTCGTGCCCAGAGGAGACGGTGCTCTGCTCTGGTTGCATGCGCTGCCCTGGTGGGGGGAGGCTTCTTGGACTTCCCTTTGAGTTTAGTTAAGGCAAGGTCCATGGTGCACAGCAATGGCATCTTCTGATGTGGGGTGCATCAGGCAAGAGAAAGTTGGTCTTTTTGCTCTTCACAAAATGCCCTTGAAGCATGAAATGTGAAATAAACATTTAAGGGGTTTAAAGAGCCATGGTGGCACGCTGGTTAGAATGCAATATTGCAGACAAAACTCTGCCAACAGCCAGCAGTTTGATTCTTACTGGCTCAAGGTTGACTCAGCCTTCCATCCTTCTGAGGTTGGTAAAATGAGGACCCAGATAGTTGGGGGCAGCAGGCTGATATTTGTAAACTGCTTAGAGAGGGCTGCAAAGCATTATGAAGTGGTATATAAGTGCTATTGCTATCATTTAGCTGTCCTCAGTTTGGGGGTACGCTTTTTAAAATTCCTAACCTCAGTTTCTCCATAACAAGACCGAGCATCATCATGTGGCAATGGACCCCAAATGTTCCTAAAATAGCACTATTTAGATTAAAAATACTGAGAATTTGGGATATCCATCCATAGGCCTCACTGCCAGACATTGTCTGTAGCCCAGAAGAAATAATAATCTGGTGACCTGTAACAATTGCCGCTCTCTAACCGCTATCCCGTTCTATAGTGTTCCTGATGAGAGCAGAGATCCTGCCTGTTTTTACAACCTCCCTGAATTTGCTGCTTGGCTGGCATGCAGCTTTTGTGACAGCAGGTGCCTCGGGGCCTCTGAGGAAAGCGACGGCAGAGACATAGCCCCCCAGGCAGACGAGGCTTGGCACTGGAGCCTTGATGACTAGCGTCTCTGCTGCTGTTGGTGTTAATAAACAGGGACATCATTGGCCAGGAGACCTTGAACCTTGGCTTTTGCTGGGCGGTTTGGCAGAAGAAAGGGCTCAGAGCCTGTGCCGGTGGCCCCGCAGACCCCCCTCAAGGGCAGGGGGTGGGCTCTTCATCCCAGCTTTTAGAAGGAGGAGGGGCTTTCTGGAGGATAGACCTCTGAACTGATACCAAAGATGAAGGCTACAGCTAAGAGCACACTCCAAAAGAGCTTTTTCCAAAAGGTGCACCTGGACTTCCTTGTGGTTTTTTTTCTTTGAAAACGTTTTGTATTCATGCAAGAAGCTTCTTCAGTTCTTGGATGGGAAGCGAAACGTTTTCAAGGAAAAACCCAAGAAAGTCCAGCTTCCTTTGGGACAACCCTGACCAGGATGATGGAGCATCTCCACAGACTAAGAGCGCCACCAAACAGCAAATGGAAATGGGTCACCCGTAGGTCCTGCTTCAAATTGGGCCCACCTGATGCTTCCGGGAGGCTATTCTGGTTCAGTTCTGCTCTGATCTGGAACCCTTTTCTTGCTTCTCCAAAAGACCCCCTGGCTATCTGCAGACAGAGAGTGTTTCCTTTTAGCTTCTTGGCATTTCGGAAAGTTGGCTCATGAAAATGACGGAGTTAGTTATCTGTGCATGTCTTGGAAAGCAGAAGCATCCCACTCCTTGGAGGGGCAATTGATGCTGTACATCAGGGGACTCAAGCCTTGGCAGCTGTACGACTTGAGGACATCAACTCCCAGAATTCCTCAGCCAGCATGGAGTTCTGGAAGTTGAAGTCCACAAGCCTTAAAAGTTGTGAAGGTTGGAGAGCCCTGCTGTACATGACCGTTGGGTCAGCTTCTCCAATCTCCTCCGCTCTGGCTGCCATCAAGCGTTGCCTCTTGTGTTTCAGACGGTTTCCGAAAGGTGGTTCACATCGAGCAGGGGGGGCTGGTCAAGCCCGAGAAGGATGACACTGAATTCCAGCACCCCCACTTTCTCCGAGGCCAGGAGCACCTCCTGGAGAACATCAAGAGGAAAGTCACCAACGTGAGTCTGCCCTGACCAGTCGCTGGCTGAGGTTCAGAGGAGCCTTCCTTCCCTCTTGCCTTGGAAGGGTCTTTTTTCTTGGGGTGCCAGTGGCAAGGGGGCTCGTTCCATGACCTGCTTCTTTGAGGCTGAGGAGACAGATGGCCGGAGAAAGATGCTGAGGCCTTAAGCATCTCCACCCCCACCCCCCCAATTCCTGGTTCTTCTGCTGGCAGAGAGCTGAGCTGACACCGAGGTTGGCAGTGGGTTGAATGAATCTAATCTCTGGGGCAGCTAAAGACCTTTTGGGGAAGGGACTCTTTTCATCGTGTGCCCCCAATTACTCCTTTGAGTTTAGAATCGCTCTTCTCAGGACGGTTTCTCAGTGGTGTTCATAGGAAGAAGAGGCGGGTGCAAAGAACTGGACTGCTTTTTTCTCTTAATTTAGAAGACCCTCTTACCCCTCCCTCCGCCACAAAGACCCTGGCCTTTCAGAGTTTTGGCTCTGCTATGCATAAGCTTGAGAGCAAAGGTGTCTTATGGTCTTAAAAGCAACTCAACCATCTTTACCAAGAAAGTCCAGGTGCCATTTGGAAAAAAAAAAAAAAACACCTTTGGGAGAACCGTGACCTGCATCAGGGACCTCTGAACTCGACTAAACAAGCTGACAAGTCTAAACAAGGGACGACTAAACAAGTCGGCAACCTGACTGGGGAATTCTGGGAGTTGACATCGACAGGGCTTAACATTGCCAAGTTTGGAGACCCCTCACCTGGACAACAGTCTCCACAGACACATTCAGAGAATTCAAATCTTTTTCTAGTCTTACATGCATTCTTTGAAACTTTGATCCCCAAAAGCGAGCGTCTAGAAATCGGAACCAGATACAAAATGCTTTTAATTTTTCTACTGTTTATGGATATTGTACAGCTGTACAATATCATAGGGTTTTTTTTCAATACTGCTGTCACTCATGCATCTATGCCGAACAGAAGAGCAACCTGCATTTGAGGTGCAGCAGGAAAGGCCCTGCATGCTGGGCAGGGCTGGGGCTGGGGGTTTAAGGTGGGTCTCCTCCTGAAGTGTCGCTTCTGTGTCATATTTGTGTTCCACTTGGCTCTGACTCTCCCTGCGCGCACACAGCGCCCGCTCTGCCCTCCAGGAGATGACCAGGCTGAGCCGGAGGGCTTCGTTCAGCCCCCTTGGAATCTGTTGACTCCAATTCACCTTGGCCATTAATACAGGTAGTCCTCGACTTACAACAGTTCACTTAGTGACCGTTCAAAGTTATGTCACTAAAAATAAGTGAGTTATGACCATTTTTCATACTTATGACCATTGCAGCATCTCCATGGTCATGTGATTTACATTTGGATGCTTGACAAATAACTCACTTTTATGACGGTTGCAGTGTCCCGGGGTCACGTGATTCCCCTTTTGCGACGACCTGACAAGCAAAGTCAACAGGGTAAGCCCGATTCACTTAGCAACCGTGTCACTAACTGAACGACTGCAGTGATTCACTTAACAAATGAGACAAGAGAGGTCATAACATTTGGCAAAACTCACTTAACAACTGTCTCACTTAGCAGCAGAAATCCGGGGCTCAATTGTGGTCGAGGACTCCCTGTAGTACGTTTGAACTCAGTCCTGGTTCCTGATTTCTTGCATCTGACCATTAGCCAGCTCTTTTCTCGTTTCCAAGTTGAGTGATGCCTTCCCCCCCTCTCCCTCCCTCCCTCCCTCCCTGCTTTCAGATATCCAGCATAAAGAACGAAGACATTAAGGTTCGCCAGGACAGCATGACCAAATTGCTGACCGATGTCCAACTGATGAAGGGCAAGCAAGAGAGCATGGACTCCAAGCTGATCGCCATGAAGCAGTAAGTACATGCCTGGGGAGGGGAGGGTGGGTGGGTGGTGCTCTCCCTTCCTCTGTGTTGTAGCGCCCTCTCCTGGCAAGTGCCAGCAGAGCCATCAGCAGCCAAAGAGTGGAAATACCCATGAAAACTCTCGCCATACTGGTCTCCTTGTTTTCTTTTTTGTTTTCTTTTTTTCCCCTCTCTGACCAAGCCTTGTCGGTCTTCTTCCCATCTTTATTTCCATGACACAAAATGACATTTGAGGAGAAATCAGGGGCAGGGATCTGTATATTCCTAAAACTCCCAGTCTTGTAACTTTGAACTGGGCCAACGATTTTTGAAGCAAGGTACCTCTAATGGGCTAACTTGCAGAATATGTCCAAAATTTGGGACCCAGGACTCCTGTGGGATTGAAATTTGGCAAAGGTTGTAGAACACAAAAATTTATGGCGTAATGTAACATTTCCTGTGCTGATGCTTGACTGCGCTATGTAGTCCCAAGAGAAGCAAAGGCCCCTCTGAATGCCTCCCAGCGTTTTCCTTGAGTGCAGGGCACGAGGAGCTCTGTCCTGGGGGAAGGCGTTGAGGAATCTGGTCAGGAAAACCTCTCTGAAAGGAGGACCCGGCCTGCCACGGGTTGCCTACCAAAGTGGGTAATGGTGGAGGACAAAAGGGCAGTTTTCAGGGGTCCAAAACTACAGCAGCATCTCAAGAGCCTATCAGAAGCTATTCTATAAAAAAGAGAGAGTAGAGGACCAGATCAAATGAGGTGCAGGTAATCCTTGATTTATGACCACAATTGAGCCCAACATTTATGTTGCTAAGTGAGGCAGTCGTCGTCGTCTTTTTTTTTTTTTTTTTTTTTTTTTGAGTACTGATAGTCCTAGACTTATGACTGGTCACTTACAACTGACCCAAAAAATGGGTCTTGGATTCGAAGAGCTGACAGTTGAGCTGCCTCCTCAGTCATGTGATCAAATTTGGGGCTCTCAGCAACACAACTGCATTTGAACCAGCTTGCATTGTTCCACGTCATGTGACCCTCAAGCACTTCTGGGTTTTGGCAAAAAAATCCCAGCGAGTGATTGGTTTGCTTAATGATTGTGGTGTTAGCTTAAGAACCATGGATTCGCTGAGCAACTGCGGTGATTTGCTTGTAAAAGCATCATAAAATTGGGTCAGTCACAAGACGAATGCATTTTATGACCGACATGAATGCGTTTTATGACCGACATGACACGTGGCAGGCTCCGTTGCTTTCCTATGTCGGGTGCCTGGATTGGAGGTAGAGCTGGGCTTCCAGGCCAGCATCTGATACAAGGCGGCCACAGAAGGAGAAGCTAGAGAGACAAAGTAGGTTTGGCGGCAGGCACTGCCTCCCTTCCGTCCAGCTCCCTGCAGAGCGGACAGGAGCTTTTGCATTCCCTGCTTGCTCAGAGTTCCTTGGGGCCTTTGAGGCCCTTTCCTTCCTCCTCTGCTCCCTGTTCTGACCTAGGCTCCCTTAAAAAGCAGGAAGTCTTGGTCCTGGCAAAACCTCTTTTATTTACATGACTGTGAATTACTTTCGTTCACAGTCAGCAAGGCCTGTCCAAACATACTTTCAGAGGAATATTTATCAACACAGACCTTATCTCGCTTGGCAAGCTGCCACGTAACTTGTTTCCAACCGCAGTACAAGGCAAAACTTGGCACAGAGTCTCTCAGAGTCACGGAACAAATGAATTGTTTCCTGCAAAAGCCCCCTCCCTGTTTGCTCCTCTTTTGTTTCCTATGGGAGGGGCCAATCACCTCCAAGGTGTGGCTTTACTCCCAAGTTAATCCTGCTCTCTGAGTTGTTCTTGTCTTCTGGCAGCTCTGCGCATGCGCACACTGGGAAGGGGCTCCAGCTGTTCCTCTGCCTCACTGCTGTCTAGCTCCCTCTCTGTCTCCGAATGCAGAGCCCTCCTCCGAGCTTTCCCCAGCCCCCAGGACTGGCCCAAGGTCCTCCCCAACCTCCTCGCTGTCCGACTCTGCTGCCAGCTTCACTGGCTGCCAGCGGGCCATAACACCCCCTCCCCTCGGAAGCCTCCTCCTCACACTCGGGAGATGCCGATGTACTCTTTGCCCCTGGTTTGTCAGCAGGGGCTTTGGGGCCATTTTGGTTTGCTTGGTGTTCCCTTTTGAGCTGCGCTCTGATCTTCAGTTCCTCAACTAGCAAACCAAAGAGGGTCATCGGATTGGCTCTTTGTAAAGAGGCCTGTGCCAGCCGCTGGCCTCCCAGAGATCAGACCGGGTGGTCCTTATTAGCTGCAGGACAGCTGAGCAAATGCCACGTGCACAAGCACACCCAGCATTGCTCAGCCTGGGTTTCTCTACCTCCGAGATAAAGAAGTCGGGATCGCTGGGACTGGAGCTCCTGTCATGCCTTTCCGTTCGCTCTGTGCTGATGGGAACGGAAGCCCACACTGTGCCAGCTTGCCTTTCTCTGCTCTAGCAAATCGGGTCTGGCAGGCTGCTCCTCCCGTCTCCAGCCACCAGGGTTGGGGACCTGCTCACCCACCTGGTCGGGCGCACTCATTCATGCTCGTGCCTTGTTGTTCCAGCGCAAAGGCAAGGAGCGCCATTGCAGTTTTGCAGAAGTCTCCATACTCGGCCACTTTAAGACTTGTGGGCTTCAACTCCCAGAATTCCCCAGCCAGCCTTGCTGAAGACTTCGAGTCTTAAAGCGGGCAAGTTTGGGGATCCCTGCAGAATTGGGTGGCTTTGCGGGCGATTTCCTGCCCCCCTTCCTGAAGAGGCTCCTGGTCCTTCTGGGACAGCGAAAGGAGCAGCCAAGGGGAAGTGGGAAAGGGATGAGAAGCTGAGTTCTGCAGGCTTGTCAGTCGTTTTTGTGGACAAAGTTATTTAACCCAAGCTTCAGGGTAGGAAGCCTGGCTGGAGGAAGGGAGATTTCAGCTGAAGCTGAGGGAGCACAGACCGCAACCTTCGGCACCATCACCCTTGATCCTAAGCTGTCTTGATGGTGATTGACGCTTTCTTCCCATAAAAGAAAGTCTACCAAGGAAGCAGGCGGTGGTGCCTCATGGGCTGCTCAGTGCTCCGTAGAATAGCCGATGGGCCCAAGTCTTCCTTCCACAGGTCCCTTTTTGTGCTGCCCGGAGAAGGGCTGCCTGTGCCTGTCGGGAGTGTGGGGAAAGTTGGCGCTCTCCGCTTAGAAACATCTCCCTCTTGGTCTCAAAAGAGCTGCTCCCGTTTTCTCGGGCCTCTCTTTCCCCTTCCTGCCTTTCGTTTGTCTTGGATCCCCGACAGCCTCCTTAAAACGGGATCCGTGAGCCAGAAGGATATTTCCTGCTGTGGTTTTAAATCTGATCACTTCCTTTAAAGGCTTCTGTTGGCTCCTCAGTCATAGAACGGGGCCCTCTGGGCTGCAGCAGGAATGGCTTGCTGGAGACGGGCCTGGATCCTCCGGTTCCCCCTGCTCTGGGCTGTGGGTGAGGAAACTGGGGTGGGCACCAGGCCCCCCCTGTGAGCAGCCATGGGGAAGGCTGGGCAGCAGCCCGTCAATCCATCTCCGGGAACTGAGTGGAAAGTGCAGCATCTTCCGCTTGGGAGTCCTTTGGGAAGGCCTGGGTTCCCGTTAGGAAGAAGCTGCGTGGGAATCTGGACCAGCCGATATTCCCCACGGGGTGGGGGTGGGGGTGGGGAGGTGTTGTTCAGCAGAGTGCAGCGTGGAAGACTCACCCCTTGAAGAGAGTGCATGTTGCATCCTTGTCCTTCCTGGGGTCTGGACGCAATGAAAGGTTTCACTCAGTGGATCCAATCTGGCGGAAAGGGGTGATTATTCAGGATGAGGCCCAGGGGGGTCTCTCTTTCCAGGCCCATCACAGTGCCCCACAGCGCTATTTGCTCCCACAGCTGGACTCGATCAGGAGATGCTGCTGGGCCCCTGAACGGAGGAGGGGCAGGGCTGTCTGTCCTAGAAGTGTCCTGGGGGGCGAAGGGAAGAGAAGGGTGCTGGGAAGTCAACCTCCATGGTGCTTAGAAAGCTGCTCGCTCCAGGCAGGGAAGCCAAGCGGCTTGACCCACCAGGACACCGGGCACTTCCTCCCTGCCAGGTGCCCCCTTCGTTTCCCCGAAGCAGAGGTCTCGCTTTTCCATGGTCAAAACAAACGCAAGCAGACCCCCTGCTCTGGCCTCCTTCCCTGGCTGTGAGGGCCTCCCTCCCCCACAGAAGGCCTGCCAGTTTGTAGCCTTGGCCCACGGGGCTCTTTTGTGCTGTTCCAAAAGAAACACGATGGATTATCCCTCTGACACTCAGCAGAGGGATATTCTGTTTCTGGAACCTTTGCTGAAAAGATGGCCTCGGTCAGGAACAGCCCAGAAGGAAGCCGAAGTAGAGGGGCCCCTTTCCCCTCCCCTCTGAAGCAACCTTGCTTGGAAGAAGGGGACCTGCTCTGCAGAGGAGCCCCTGAGGCCTTTTTGTGGGCCCAAGTACTTTGCCTCCGCTCTGGACTGAGGTCAGTGGGCCTCCCTGCTCTTTCTCAGCTGAAGGGCTCCTGGGCTCTGGAAAGGAGACTGGCTTTCCGGCCTTGTACTGCCACAAGAGGATTCCCATTTGTGTGTTTGGGGTGGGGGGTGGGGTGGGGGTTGCTGCCTTGCAGAAATGCATGTCCCACCTTTATGCATTCCCAAATGAATGGGACTTGCGATAAATCTGGGTACACCCAGGTGCCCAAGCCAGAAATAGGAGGTCTCTTGCCGCATAAGGCCTCTCCCTTCACCTCACTGCGGCCACCTGGGCCAGGAATGGCATCCTGCCCAGCAGAGAATGAGCAGAATCCTCCACATTGGACAGTCTTCAAATTGGGTTCACAGGTTGAAAAGCTGTCACGGCTGAGTCGAGGTTGCAGGGGTGGCCTCAGTTGCCAATAAGTTCGGGGTGTGATTCACAGCTAAAGCCTGAAATATCTTGACTCCTGGGTAGAGCAGGACTGGCTTTTTGGTGCCTTCATCCAGGGTCTCCACCTCCTGTGAGCGTAGCT